ATAACCCAAAACATTCGTCTTATACTGTGCAGGAGTGGCTCATATACTATTGCAAGCAGTTCAAATACCGCCCCAATCACCGGATTGGAATCCCATCGAGCATGTGTGGCACCTATTAGAAAGAAAGATCCGATATCATGAAATAACCTCAAAGGATTTTCTAAAGGAGGCCCTACGCACTGGATGGGCCAAAATCACTACTTATGAAACGTCAAGGCCAATAATTATCATGAAGAGACATTTGCAGGCGGGTATTCAGTCTAAAGGAGGACCCACAAAGTATTGGGGTGATTGACTACCGATGAAAATGACTAATTACGCCTTTTGTGCCAATAATTTTTTGACGAAAATTTGTGCCTATACTTATATTTATACTCATTCACGAAAGTGAATCAGTATATTGGTTTTGTGCAATGTCCGTCTTGCTGTCCGTCCGTCTGTCCGTCTGTCCGTCCGTCTGTCCGTCTGTCCGTCTGTCCGTATGAACGCAATCTATTTCGGCGCTATTGAAGCTAGAGACTTGAAATTTGGAACACATACTCGTGTATATCTCCGATTTATAAAGTGTTAAAATTTTCCCGATCCGCCCACTAGGGGCGTGGCAAATCGGAAAATGCATTTTCCGAAATACCAGAAATCATATAAGTTGAAGAGCTAGAAAGCTGAAATTTGGTATGTAGGTCCGCGTCAACAACCCAAGATCACAAGCTATGGCGGATATATCTCCGCCCATTGGGGGCGTGGCAAATCTGATAAAACTGTATCTCCTAAAGTTGTAAACCTAGAATGCTGAAATTTTGCAGGTCAGCTAATGTTATGATTCTATAAAGTCTAAAAATAAAATTATAAGTCTACAACCATTAGGGGCGTGGCAAATCGGACCTGAAGATATAGTGATTTTTCAAATTCTGCTATTTTTATACCCTGAACCCATTTTCAATGGGAAATCAGGGTATAATGGTTTTGTTGAAATGTATGTAACAGGGAGAAGGAGGCGTGGCAGACCCCACAAAGTATATATATTCTTGATCAGGGTGACGAGCTGAGTTGATTTGGCCCTGTCCGTCTGTCTGTCCGTCTGTCCGTCCGTCCGTCTGTCCGTCTGTCCGTATGTATGAACGCGTCGATTTCAGAAGATATAAGAGCTAGAGACTTCAAATTTTTTTTAAAATGTCCGTAATTACAGCGCGCATATCAAGTTTATCATTAAAAATCGATAACTCATCTCGATCTTTTTTTATCGATAAAAAACCTTATCGAAACCCAGTTATAAAATTATATCTTTTACACCTTTATTGCTAGAGTCTCCAAATTTTTAATGTATGCTTATATGCAATTTATACAATTTCGGTTTTTGTTAAAATTTACCCCCCCACCTCTAAATTCACCCCCTCACCCTCACTTTTGTAAAAAGCGTATTTCAAATACTAGAGACTTGTGCTTTGGCAATTACGTGCATATTCATGTTATAATCATAATCTAAAAGTTTCATGAAGATCGTACGTCTATAAAAAAAGTTATTAAACAATTAAGTTCTCATAGTAAGCGCACACTGCAGCCCATGCGTGTTTATGCGTGGTTGCTTGTATGTGTATGTGTTTGTGTATGTGTGTGTGTATGTGTGTGTGTGTATGCGTTTGTGTATGTATGCGTGTGTGTGTGTATGTGTGTCTGTATGCGTGTGTGTGTATGTATGCCTGTGTTTGCGTACGTGCGTGTGTGTGTGTGTGTGTGCGTGTTTCTTGTGTAAGCTGAAAGTCGCGAAAAAGTATTGAAATATCTATTGCTCCAAGGGTTCAGGGGATCTCGTAGTCGAGCAGTCTCGACTAGAGCTTTCTTACTTGTTTGGACACTATTGATGCCAGAGATCTCAAATTTTGTATACATACTCGGGCTGATCACCCAAGACCAAAAAGCTTTGTCGGATATATGTCCGCCCACAGCGAGAAGCATCAAATTTAGATAGTTAAGTTACTATTAACCTCCTCTATTGATGACCCAAAAATAATTTTTACGCCTCCTTTGAGGCGTGGCATATCGAAAAATACCCTGTAATTTTCACATTTTTTTAGCGTAAGCATTCATATTTTGCAGTTAAGCTACCGTTAGTTAGTTCTAAGAACTGTGCAAAAATGAGGTGTCTACGCCAAGTAGGGGCGTGGAAAATCGGGAAAAACTTATTTCTACAGTATTGAACCGAAACTTAGCTACTAAATTGCTGATGGGATGTAAATGAGTATTCCGCAGTCGGTAACGCCCGACTGCAACGTTCTTACTTGTTTTTAGTATAGGACAGATTGCAAAGAAAAACAAGTAAGAAAGCTCTAGTCGACTACGAGATCTTCTGAACCCTTCGAGCAATAGCTATTTCAATCATTTTTTGCGTCTTTCTACTTACACATGACACTCGCACATACACATACATACACACACACACACACGCATACAAGCACCCACACTTAAGCATATTTGCCAAAGCACAAGTATCTAGTATAGAAATACGTCTTTTACAAACTTAGTGGTGAGAGGGTGAATATAGAGGTGGGGTGTAAATTTTAATAAAAACCAAAATTGTATGAAGTGCATATAACTATAATTTAAAATTTGGAGACTCTATCTTTAAAGATGTAGGAGATATAATTTCTTAATGATTTTCTGTAAGGTTTTTTATCGATAAAAAGTAACAGGATGAGTTTTCGATTTTTTGTGATAAACTCGATATCCGCGCTATATATACCGACATTTAAAAAAATTTGAAGTCTCTAGCTCTTATATCTTCTGAAATCGACGCGTTCATACATACAGACAGACGGACAGATGGACAGACGGACAGGGTTAAAACAACTCAGCTCGTCGTCCTGATCAAGAATATACAGTCGACTGGTATTTCAAACCTGCGTTATTTCGAACCACAAAGCTATCACGAGTCCCCTACAGAATCTCTTTATATTTCGAATTAGGTCCATACATTTTTATGCACTCAGTAATTCGAACTAAAAAATCATTGCTAAGACGCGGTAATTCGTACTCATGTGGTTAAACACTCGACAATTCGAATTTGTGAAGTTTCTTGGTGTGTTAGTAAGAACTTTGAATTTGAATTTTGGGACTCCCCTGAAACTAACTTTACTGTGCGTGGTTGCGTGTTACCACTGACCAGAGAACACATAGACTAGACATGTAGTGCAAAGATTTTCAACACCGAAAAATCTGTCTCCTAGGGCCTATCAATTTCGTATTTGCTCGGCTCTTCACTTTTTAGGTTCGGGCTACGAAAATATGCGAAAGTACAATTCCGCTCCATGCGCTCGACCGAGATGGTAAAGTGTTGAATAAAAGATGCCTCTATGCTCAATTTTTGTTCTTGCTCTCTCGCTCTCTTTGCTCTCTGCTCTCTCAAATATGTATATGTATGTATGCATGTGAGCACAAGCAGCAGCCCACGAAAATTGATATTTCTTCGCGTTAGACTGCCGTTTCTTCCCTTACGTGAAGTGTATTCCGAACTCTTCAAGCCGTTTGCCATGCGTTTTCGTTATTAATTGTGGGAAGGGTATGAAAGCGTTGGTGCGCATAATAAAAATGTTTTCGCTATGAGCATGCACACACACTCTTGCTTGCTACATGTACTATGAGCATTTGTATGCCTGTGTGCGATGCTCTTGCTGCCTGTAGCACTTTTAAATATAAGCGCGCCCTTCGATTAAACCCCAAAATTGTTCACACCATTCTAAGTTTAGGAAGGCACACGCAAAATGTTCATGTCCCATGCATACAAACAAACACATACACAAACGCACATGTAAAGGCACACACGCACATACAAATGCTTCTACAAGTTATATCCCATAATTGTGAGCAGAGCCTCCCATGCGTACACACAATCAAATGTATATACATACATACATACATATGTATGTGAGCACTTCTCAAGATCGACAAATGCAAATGCTGGGCTTCAAAATTGCTACAGGCAGCCAGAGCTTCACACACAGGCATACAAATGCTCATAGTACATGTAGCATACTGTAAGTGTGTGTGTGCATGCTCGTCGCGAAAAAATTTTCATTATGCGCACCAACGCTTTCATACTCTTCCCACAAATAATAACGAAAACGCATGGCAAACGGCTTGAAGAGTTCGGAATACTCTTCACTCAGAAGGGAAGGCATGGGTTCTCGCTGCGAAGAAGTTTCAATTTTCGTTAGCCTACTTGTGCTCACATGCAGTACATAGTACATGTAGCAAGGGACAGTGTGTGTGTGCATGCTCGTCGCGAAAACATTTTCATTATGCGCACCAACGCTTTCATACCCTTCCCACAAATAATAAGGAAAACGCATGACAAACGGTTTGAAAATTTCGGTATACTCTTCACACATAAGGGTAGGCATGGGCTCTCGCTGCGAAGAAATTTCAATTTGTGAGCGCTGCTTGTGCTCACATGCATACATACATATACATATTTGAGAGAGCAGAGAGCATCGTGAGAGAGAGAGAGCAAGGGAAACATTCAGCGCAGAGGGATCTTTTGTTCAATAGTCGACCATCTCGGTCGAGCGCATGAAGACGAATGATTTTGACCTCCCATATTTTCGTAGCCTGAACCCTAAAAGCGAAGAGCCGAGCAAATACGAAGTATCTGGGAGATTACGCTCGAAAATAAGTGTGCAAAACGCTTTACACTAGTTGTCTCATCTATGTGCTCTCTGGTTAGTGCTAAAAGTAAGGAGCCGAGCGAGTCCAAAGCTGTCTGGGGTGTTAAAGCCTCAAAAAAAGCGTGCAAAAAGCTTTCCACTAGTTGTCTAGTCTATGTGTTCTCTGGTTAGTGTTTGAACATATGTACATTACGTTAAATAAAAACCCTTGATAATTCGAAGTTTTATTTATTTTCTCTTAAAATTTCGAACCATTTAATATTTCGATAATTCGATAATTCGAAATATTTTAAGAGTCCCTTGAATTTCGAAATGAGAGTCGACTGTATATACATTGTGGGGTCTGCCACGCCTCCTTCTGTCTGTTACATACATTTTAACAAAACCATTATACTCTGATTTCAGGGTATAAAAAATGGTACAACCAGCAACCGAGATCTTATGATTTCAAAGTAAGTAAATTTGAATAAGTTTAAACGCTTAAACTTTTAAAATATCACTTTATGTGTGTACTATATATATGTAAATCAATACTTACACATAGGCCATCATGGACAAATATTATGTACACAGGGTAAATACTCAAATTGCAAATTGCTCATTACACTTTAGGGTGGATGTTAATTTATTGCTCCAAATACCTTCGCGTCACATATATCATTAATGATCATATATGTCTTCAACGCCGACTAAGTTAACCTCAAGTTGCTAGCAGGATCCATTTTTACTTAACACAATTAAATTTCTTACGCATTTTTCATAATGCCGAGTCAACTGATTCAATATTGATAGTACATAAGTATGGTATGCAAGCAAAATGTATTTTTGAGTTTATAATGTAATTTTAACATGAACATGTATTTTTCTTTTCGATATCTATTTGTTTATTGATAATACGCATTTAAGCATTTGGTTATTGATTTACTTTCTTTCTTGATGAATTCAGCTAATTACAGACATTAAAGTTATTTATTACTTTTGATTTTTGATTAAATTGTACATAAAAATCATAATAAAAGTACAATGTACGTATGCATATGAAATGTGGCAAATACATATGTATAAACATAAGGAAAAATGTATTGCATTTCTATATGTATATTTAAATTTATATATAAACATAAGTATGTATGTATAGATTTTGAAATTAACATGGATTTATGGCAGATTCTTGTAATGCATTTATATAAACCAAGAAACATTCAAAATTTTCCGACAGCATTTTTAGAGTCAACGCATAGTCTAAAATTAAATTAATAAAATTTGACTGATCCTATGCACTTGTTCTTTTTCTTTTTGTTTTTAACCATAATATTGATTTTATTAACTTCTTATTTGGTATGCATATAAAAAAATTCCAAACAATGCCACACTCCGCCCTACATATTTCCCATATCAGTAGGTTGTCAATTATTGGAAAACGCAATGAGGCTTTAAAGGGAATATTTTTTCACAATTTCTCAATTTTATGACACTGACCGAAATTTTGCTAATTGTCTGCATGATACAAAAATCTTTAATAATATAAACTGTACTGATACAAGATCATTATTCTAAATAAACATATAATGTCCGTTCTTTTTGCATTCAACATATACAGGAATTCCTCGTATAACGCGATAGTTACGTTCCAGAAGAATTGCGCGTTATGTAAATCCGCGTTATCTAAAACATAGTTTTCATATAAATTTGGGGGTTAGGTTCCAATAGGTTTTTTAAAAATAAAATACATACAAAATAGCAGATGCACTTATATTTCAACTCAATACAAGATAGGAATAATTATACATATGTACATACATTTGTATGTATTTAAAAATTTAAAAAAAAAAAAAAAAATTATATAATTATGTGCACATTAAAAATATTGAAAACAAACTAAAACAAATTAAAGGTTTATTAAAAACTTTATTATTATTCTTCAAACTTCATATGGTAAATAATCTGTTCACTGTCTTCAAAGATCTTTGCACGTTTTAAATCTGTATTTTCCCCTTCGCGTTATATAAGCCTAAATTTCGCGTTGTACTGAAACCTAATTTTTCCAAATCGCGTTATATCGAAATCGCGTTGTATGAGACCGCGTTATACGCGGGATACCTGTATATGTGAATTATGCATTTTTTACAATTCTTATGGGACCCAATCTTAACAGTTTAACAAAGCGTAGCATTGTGTATGTATTGAAGTACAAGCTTTACCATTCCAGCTACATTGAATAAAAATATAGTATCTAAAAAGTAGAAAATAAAGTGCTGTTTTATTTCGTTTTCTTCTCTACTCATATATATATATATATATATATGGCATTTAGTTGACTTAATTGCATGCAGAAAGTTAGTTTACATTTTGGGCATAATTTCGAAGCTCATAATCAAACAATACGTAAACTACAAATCAACCTTCAAAACTTTGGATAAAGCTAAGAAAAATTCTCAAATACACTTATCCTGTAACAGTTGAAACAGTTAATCTGCCCGTTATGAAGTCTGACAATTCATACACGTTGTTGCTACTGTGACTGTTGTACTTTAACGATCTTTAATTCTGTTAGTCTATATGTTAAGATTTCGTTAAACATTTATAAATTTTTGTAGATTTAAAGGTAATTTTTCCATTTATTGTTGTAGCTTATATGGCCGTCAATTAATTATGTAAATAGTTTTTGTTTTACTAATAAGTATGTTATTTAAATCATTCTTATTTTGTTTGTATATAAATTAAGGACTTAAACGTTATAAGAAAAATGTTTTATAAAGTGTATTGTTTTCCGATGTTTTCTTCATTACACACACACACATACATATATATATATATATATATATATATATATATATATAATTCTTTTTTTTTTCCTACCTGTAATTTTCTTTTATAAATGCTTTAATTTTATTTGACTTCTTAATACCAACTTCTGTTGTTTTTATAGTCATGTAAGGATTTTTCTGTTGCCTGATAAATAAAACTGACGTGTCATCTTTTATTTTACACTTATGTACGGATATTACAGTAAAATTACCATAATACTCGTACTTGTGCTATCATAGTCGTCAAGATAGTGCACTCCCAAATTGTTTTTTCTTTACTGTATAGCGAACGTTGGCGTATTTAACTGATTTTATGCTGTTTAAGCCTTAGGTTCGACCGGAATTTTGACCAAGAACGACTATCAGCCACACCTCATCATAGGATCTGTTTAGAATTTTTTCATTTACTCTAATAATATACTTGTATGTGTGTATGTCTAGTTGTATGTTGTTGTGTATGTCTGTGTTTGGTTTGTATAAGTATAAGTATATAGCAATATAAATAATTTGTATATAAAGTTCTTGTTTTTGCTATGGTCTACGTCGCAGTCAACGCCCTATACCATCCTTATTATCTCGGTCGCCTACTCGCAGTGTGAAGCACTTTCGCCTAATAACAGTAACATATAGCCGTTGACAGCATAGCACAAAATAGTTATTGGTGCGGAATATGTATTTAAATTCGCCTGAATTTAAAAGGATGTTGTTTTTGTTGCTACTATTGTTATTGTCGGTGTTGCTAAACGCAGACTGCTTGCAACCACCGCCACGTTGACCCTATCCCACCCATTAATACGTATTGTGTACAACATTTAGTTCCACACGCGTAAGAACGAGTCCCACGATCCTGTTGCTACTGCCATACCATTTTCAGTGACTCCCAAACATGAAACACGATTATCATGGCCGGCTAGAATGCCTGAGCGCTCTGCTTTCATTGTGTCCCATACATTACAATTAAAATCATCATATCCTGCTAATAACAGACGGCCACTTTTTGAGAACGCAACGGAGGTAATACCACAAATGATGTTGTCATGCGAATACATTGCCAATTCCTGATCTGCCCGTATATCAAAAAGCCGACAGGTTGCGTCGTCAGATCCTGTCGCGAAGGCTTGCCCATTTGGAAAGAAGGTGACTGCATTGATATCAGACTCATGTCCTGGGAATGTTTGCTTACAAACACCTTCTCTTATATCCCATAACTTTGCGGACGCGTCACATGCACCCGAGACAAATGTTTTGCATTGCGGTGCCAGGGAAAGAGCCATCACGTCACCCGTATGACCAAGAAATGAAGTAACCTGCAGACCGGTTTCGATGTCCCATAAGCCACACGACATATCACCTGAACTTGTCACAATTTGATTATCGTCCAGAAAACGGCAGCATGATAGATAACCGCCATGGCCTGGTAGCTCACGGGACACACGTACGTTTCCTTCGCGTGTCTTTAAGTTATAGATTGAACACATGTTGTCGAGACCTCCACAAGCAACGTAACTTCCCGATGGAGCGTATGCACAAGTCATCACCCACGAAGAACGCAGTGGTATAGCATGTACTTTATTCGTAGTGTGCGAGTCCCACACGATTAGTTTCCCATCTTGTGAGGCTGATACAAGGTTTCTGGAGTCATTACCCCAATGCATAGCATAAATTTTAGCTAGATGTCCGCGCAGTGTACGTCGGGTGCGCATTTGTATACGTCCAATAGGTTCTAGCAAAGCGGCAGCCTGCAACAGAGATGTATCGCACGCAGCCTTCCGTGCATCTCGAATCGCATTCTTTAATGACTCAGCTTCCTGTCTTAGACTATCTAGTTCATTCATATTGTATTAATGATAGTAACGTTCTCTTCTTAAATGTTTTTCTCTTTTGTACAAGTAATGGTACAAAACTTTATTAACAAAACCTTGTAATCCGACCTGAAGAACTTTCGGTATTTATGGTTCCAAATCTAAATATGTACATATATTAGTATATATAACTTTGTGTATATAAAAATCACTTACCTTTCTAAATATATGAAGTTTTCTTCCGTGTTTATGTTATTTACTTGTTATTTAAACAAATTTTTTTATTTTTTTTTATTTTTCCTAACAACTTTTATGGAAGTCTATATACAATGCTAAGGCAGCTGGACATTCGCTGTCAATATGATTATTTCCAAATGAAGATGATTTGCTATCCAATTCCAAAGCTTCGATTTTCTTGCAATTTTTATTGCAGTGTTAGTTCGAGTTTTCCTGCTGGTAAAACTTAGATAAATGAATTTTTTTGTTAGACCATTTTCATTACTGGGCTATGTTAAATTAATGTATTAAAATTAATTAATTAAAATTAATATTCAAATGTGTGGAAAAATGGGAGTTGATTAATAAGAGTCTAACCAAATTGATGGAATTTATGTATATACAGTGACGAACTAAATTATTGGCACAGCAAGCTTTTTAAACTTTAAAGCAATTTCGGAATTGTTTTTTAACGTTTTTTTAGTGAACCAAAAAAATTTACTAAATAGAATTGGGTATTTATTAAATTATACAGTAAAAATATTGCGAAAAACTTAAACGCACTTTTTTTTAAATTAAATAACCAAAAATAAACCTCGATTTTGCTGAACAAAATTATTGGCACACTTATATATATATATATTTCGTTTTTTTTATAATTTAAAAAATTCCCTATTCTATTTGATTCATTTTTTGTTTCATTAAAAAAACGTTTTAAAATATTTGACAAATTGATTTAAAGTTTAAAAACCTTGCTGTGCCAATAATTTAGTTCGTCACTGTAGATTTTGCGAACCGATTCAAAAATCTTGATGATGTATGCCGATTGATTTCCGTTTGCTCAACCTCTCAACTTAATTTTTATTTTGTCTATTATTAATCACGAAGAAGGTATTTGGATTTGAAATTGATTGATATAAGCTCACTAAGTTCTTCATTCGGTTTTATTTTTTAGTTTAAGGGTCCCATATTTTTCGAAATGTTTTTCAATTCATCTCATATGTATATCGGTTTACACTATAACAATAAAAAAAAATAAAATAAATAAATGAAAGACAATGTATTTAACTGATCCCAGTAAAATAATTTTGATTTCTGTTCGCCGCTTGTTTGGCCCGCCTGTTTTTACCCGTTGTCACTAATTTTTTTTTTGTACACCTAAATTGTAATTTTTGCACCACCACTGCCATTAAAAATCAAAGTAATTGGAGCAAGCAGTACAGCCAGTGTTTCACAGTACAGAGTAGCAGAGTATAGGTATGTACGACAGGAAAAGCAGGTTTAAATGTAACTAGTGTCGGTGCGACAAGCATAGTTAAATGTAAGTGAGTATTTGTCCCATTCGCACCAACAGCAATTTGTATTTCATGAAATTGATAAAGCGAGAAAGAAAATCAGAAGAAAAATCAATTTTAAATACTAAAATTTTGGGGTAAAATATATTACTGTAAAAACATAAAATAATTGAATAATTATAATAATGCTAGAAAGTAATTAATTCATATTCCCTTAACATATACAACCATATATATTTTCAGCAATCAGGTATGTATGCATGTACTATCAAATTATATATATATATATATATATATATATATATGTTCAAATGCGTATAACATTATAGTCATATATTTGCATATATTTTGTATATGTATACATATATCCATTTTTATATATTAAAATGAATTGGTTTGTAATTTTGACATGCAACAAAACACACCTGAATCTCTTTTCGACGTTCCGTGATCAATTTTAAGTAACTTTGCTTTATTATATAGGTCACACTCTTGGGTACACAGTAAACTAATAAATAGCTGAATAGATTTTACACTGTCAGTAGATCTTTCAATTTAACTAATCGCTAGCAGCTTGAGATTTTTACAGTATGTCAATCTTAGCACAACTCTTCACTTACACTTCACCATTGGTAGCCAACACCTAGAAGTATTACAGGTATGCTGGATATGCATATATCGATACTTTTCCTCATCGATGAAACTAAAATAATTTCACTTGCGTTTCCACGAGTGAACTAATAACTTTTACCACCTAACCGTTTACTAAAAGTATTGTAATGCATTATCGTCTTATAGAAGTCTATAATTTTATCTCCTTTTTTAGCTAAATAGTTTCAGCTCTTTGTCCTGATCCAGAAAGAACAGTAACATAAGATGGTATAATATAATATATTATATACATATATATATTTTTAAGAATGAATAAGCTCCATACTAAGTATATTACATTACCTTCGATAGAAATTGATCATTTTATTTCATTTCGCAAATCGCAATCCATACAAAAAAAAGTTTGCATTAGTCATAGATTAGTCAATTTCGAATATGTTCGGCTCAGTTTTTAAGCACGGACATATTCTCAAATGAAGCACCAACATGTTCTTACTCTATCTTCTCTATGCTATCCATATCTTTATATGTACGCACCAGCTCATAAAAATTAAAATTTCTTCGCGACGATCTCAATTTTTCTTTCTGAGTATATACCTACCTAGTATATGCCTACCTGTTGTTCGTTTAGCAAAACTTATTTTCCCAAAAATGAATGTTTTCGTGATGCGAAATGGTCGTTATCCGAGCCGTTCATTAAACAGAATATATAATTCATTATAGTCTTTTGTCGAAAACTTTACATACAATATTAAATGTTTTTAGGTATAAGAATGTATAAATGTGATGTGGATATTAAAGTGCATACGTCCTACTAACAAAAAATTTTCAGTTTCATAATTTGCACAGGCAGCAAATGTTTCGCACACGTGCACCTATATGCTTATACATGTAGCAAGGGACAATAAATGAGTGTGTGCATGCCCATCAATATCATTTTCTTTATGCGCATCAACTCGGCCACACCTTCCCCCCAAATAATCATGAAAATGCTATTATATCGCCTGAACGAGGAAACCCCTTTCACCCACAGGGGACTAACTGGAACCGCCGCGAAAAATTTTATTGAGTTGAGCAGAGCAAATACGAAATTGACTATAGAGATACTTTTTTGTGTGGAAAAAAATTTGCCCCACTTGTCTAGTTCATATGTTGCATGGTTAGTGAAATTATTTTATTTAATAAAGTCTATATATAACACAGATTATCAACAATAAATTTTCTCAAGCAAGTCCAAATCGTTAGTATGTCGACGTTTCTATTCCATTTTACTAATGGGTAGATAGAGTACTTTTATAAATTAAGATTATAATTGACAATGTTTGAAACAAGCCTGCAAATAACTTAATCGATTACAAATAATAATCGACGCCTTCGTATAATGACAGCAGTGATTATAGAAGTAATGACTAAAGTAAATTATTAGTTTTCTAACAATAACATCATGTTTATTTGTTGCAATAACTGATATCCAAAGAAGTTATAGCTATATACATATTAAATTTAAATAAAATACAGTCACACATATATATATATATATATATATATATATATATATATATATATGTAACTTCACAATAACTTCATGCTTAATTTACTTAATTATAATTAAAACGTCTTTTGTTGCAAAAAATGATATCCAAATAAGTTATATCTAAATATATATATATATATATATATATATATATATATATATATATTTTGAATATAATATAAAAATACAACCACATATATATATATATAATGGAGGACAAAAGTATTTTGACAACGCATTGCAAAAACTAACCGCTTATTTTTGCGTGCTGAGAGAGGTAACGGTACCCAATATATTTTTCATAGCGAGCAAACATAAAATGCTATAAGTGACCAAAATATTACATTGATGACATGACTCATTATTTTTCTATAATTATGTATTTGCATGGCAGATTTTCATTCTTTGGCTGGACAAAAGTATTTTGACATTCCTTTTCAAATTCATTTTCGGTAATTTGCTTGGATTAAAAAATACATATTTTTATTTGTAAAGTTATTTTTGGTGTCCTCTTTAATAATAGCCATTATTTGATCATAGTTTTCGGTAAATTATGGGCAAACAACGTGATTAAGTGAAATTATAAAATTAATTATAAAATGCACTTCTTTGAGCAATTTACAACTAAATTAACAAAAAATAAAAAAATGATTCACTCAAACAAGAAGGCCAGATTGGAAAGATCATTCAAAAAAAACCTGAAGAAGGCCGCATCATATTGACAAATCTTAAAGAAAATGTGCGGATTTTCCTAAAAGTCATGTCGATCAAACTCAAAAATAATCATAAATTATCAATAAGCAGAAAACCTATCACAAGTCGGCGAAAGAAGGCCATTTTTTCTACGTTATACATCTTCCAATACCCCTTATATCACTATAAAAAAATCACTATATAAAAAAAGAGGCCTATGTACCAACGTGGTGAAGAATCGGTAATGCTCTGGGGGCTCGCATGTGTCAATAGCCTCTCCAATTTGATATTAATTAATGAAAAAATGAAGGATAATTATTTACGTGTCCTGAATGACCACTCATCGAATTCCGGTTACCGGCTCATTGGAAAATCATGTATACTGCAGCAGGACAGTGCTCCATGCCACAAGGTCCATATTATAACTGAATTTTCTGAGAATATTGAAGTCAATGCATATGATTGGCCACCTCAGCGCTCTGATCTCAATATTATTGAGAATGTGTAGGCTTACGCAAAAGTAAAACGTAGATTAGACTTATCAAGAACTCTCAAGGAGACGGATTGCTGAGGTTTGAGGACCTTAGCAGGATTTTTCAATATAAACATTACAAAATTTGATTAGATCGATGCCTAGACGCTTGCAGATGTTAAAGTAGGGTTTAATTCTGATTAATATTTTAGTTACTTAATGGTAATAAGTTTTTGTCTCACTTTATTAAATTACTATTAATGTAAAATATTTTTGTCCACCCAAATAATGATAATCCGCCATGCAAATAATTATAGAAAAATAATGAGTTATGTTATCACTGCAATATTTTGGTCACTTATAGCTTTTTATGTTTGCTCTCTCTGAAAAATATATTGGATACCGCTACCTCTCTCAGCACGCAGAAATAAGCTGTTCGAGTTTTTGCAATACGTTGTCAAAATATTTTTGTCCTCCATTTTATATATATATATATATATATATATATATATATATATATATATATATATATATATATATATATATAAATGGATGACAATTTTTTTTTTTTTTTTTTTTTTTAATAAACAGCTTTGTGACGACTATAACTCAAAATTTGCATATCACTCTGAAAATTTTGACCATTCAGAATACGATGCAACGCACCCCTTACTGCGAGCGGATCGCTATCCAACTAAATTTGTTCACTGTCTAAGCTGCAAAAGACAAATTCGAAGTAATTCCTTAAGTGATATTTGCGTACATTATACTGTGCATCCACATCCGCAAAGTTATATCAAGTGCTTATATTGCAGTGGATCCGTTTATCACTATTTACGTCCTGAGAAACTGTGTCCGGAAGTTTATCACTATTGTTCACCACGAAAACACGACTTATTAAAAAATTTATAAATATGGAAGACATTGACGCCAATTTTGCTAAAGAATTCGACACATTAACAGAAGAATCGGAAACTTCCGAGTATTCAGAACATGATATTGAAGAAAGTAACCACATTGAGGATGAAGTAGATGAGTTACTTAATTTTTCGAAAACTAATTTCAAATCTAATGATTTAAGTCCTAAAATTAGTAGACTTGTCTCTCCAAACAACAATGTTACGGAAACCATCAATTTTGTTAAAATGAACACAAATGCTGAAGACAATACGGAAATAAAATTGGCAGTTAAGTCTCAGATGAAAACGCCAACGAGATCAGTAACTGGACATCCCAACTATGGATTTGGTAAGCGTTGGTCGAAATCGGAAGACATATTACTTAAGTCTTTGGTTGAAAAATACCGAGAACGCTGGGATATAATTGGATCACATTTTAAAGACAGACTTGAGCAACAAGTTCAGCAGCGTTGGGCTAAGGTATTAAACCCGGAGCTCATTAAGGGACCTTGGACGCGTGAAGAAGATGAGAAAGTTATTGAACTCGTGCGTCGATTTGGACCAAAGAAATGGACGTTAATTGCTCGATATTTGAATGGGCGAATTGGAAAACAATGCCGTGAACGTTGGCATAACCATCTCAATCCAAATATTAAGAAAACTGCTTGGACGGAAGAAGAAGATACAATAATTTATAATGCCCATTTTAAGTTAGGAAATCAATGGGCTAAAATTGCAAAACTGTTGCCAGGTCGAACTGATAATGCTATAAAAAATCATTGGAATTCTACAATGCGTCGTAAATATGATGCTGAACGTAGATCGGTCAATACAGTAGCTGGTAGTGATCTAAAAAGCTCACGCACTCGTCTTATTGAGTTAATTAAAACAGGTGGTATTAATAAGTGCCCACAAGTTTTATATACCAAATCCACGCCTTTTAATAACAGTATTGCGGATTTAAAGAAATCGGGAGTAAAAAAAGTTGTAGATTCATATTACGATGACACGTTTTTTAGCGTTGTGAAAACTAAGGATGTAGTCAAAGATATGTACACTGAACCCAGTGACACGGCCGGTGCATCAACTTTTGATACACAAAATATAAATGGATTAACCAAAGGCAATTTCATGACAACACTTCCTCTTTTACAATATGATGTTAAACTTAGGCCTACTCCTAATATACTGAAAAGATCACGCAAACTAATTCCTGATGCATCAAAATGTTTGGATACACTAAAAAGTGACATGAAATCAAAATTACCACAAACACCAGTTATAACCCCTATTAAATCGCTGCCTTTTTCACCAAGCCAGTTTCTTAAATCGCCTTGTCTCACATTTGAAGATATGAATTTGCCAGCAAGTACACCAGTTACCAAAACTTATAACCGTGTAGGAATGGAAATTAAAAAAGAGCTGGAAACTACATCAATTGAAACACCACATAAAAGTAAATAACGCTATATTACCGTATTTTACATATAATTATACTTATCAATTTTATTCTTAACTGAATTTCTATAGGTTTAATTGGCCCACGTACTCCAACTCCATTTAAAAATGCTCTTGCGGCTATTGGGAAAAAGTTGGATGGACGCTCATATGTGCCATCTAGTCCTTTAAGTCTGGCTGAAGATCTTGCAGAAATTATTAGTGAAGAACAACTGAATGAATTTGAGATTAATACCATCAAAGCCGAAAATAGATGCGATAACATATCCAACATAGAATGCTCAAACACTCTTGCTAATATAAGTCTATGTTCGCCTGCGCCAAAGCGAGCCAGAAAATCGTTGCTTCCCAGTTGGAACGTTAACAGCTCACATTATGGAAAAAAAACGCAACCGTTTGAAACAGAGACGCCTAGCAAATTTCTCATGTCGGGACAATCTGTTAAAGATTTCTCCCCAAGTAACATTATTGAAGGAAATTTAGGCAGTGAACAGGACCCGTTATTTGATGAGGGTAAAAAAGAAAATAGACCATACGGGCAAAGGTTTCGTGCCGTTCTTAACGAGCATATTTTGGATCCAAAGTGGGCAAGAGTTGCATGCGGCAAAACCAAAGATCAAATTTTTATGGAGAAACAAGCGTATGCATGTCTTCAGAATCTAAAGATGTCTTCAGACTTAGTACCGCGGTCGTTAAATTTTGAGAAACAAAAATAAAATAAATTGTTAAAAATTGTGAGGAAATAAAATAAATTGCCCAATTAATATTCGTATTTATTTATATATATTTATATTTAAACAAGTAAGAAAATTCTAGTCGAGAGTGCTCGACTAGATTCTACCCTGATCCAAACTAATAAAAAAGGCACATTTAAAACTGTTGACACTTTTTCGTGGTCTGCAAATACATACAGTTTGGCAAGAAAGTGTTTACACACAGGGAAAAAATTTGAATTTTTTACTTTGAAGTGAAATAAAAGCAGTAAGAATATGCATATTCAATTTTTTAAAAATGAAAGTAGGTATATTAGACTATAAACTATATTAGTAAGTAAAAAAAATTACAATATGTTTCCATTAACAAAAGAAAATAACAAAAAACAAAAGAAGTAACAAAAATCAGCTGACAAGAAAGTGTTTACACAACTAAAACAATTAATTCATTATAATGTTTTAACTACTTTTTAGTTAAAACTAATACTTTTTTTGGCCACCGTTGGCATCTATGACTGCTCCCAAGCGTCTATTCATCGATTGGACCAAGTTTCTGACATATTCCACTGGGATATTTCGCCATTCCTCCAAAACAATGGTTTTCAGCTCAGTTTTATTCTTTGGATGCCTCTTGGCGGTCCTCTTCTTCAGATAAGCCCACAAATTCTCAATGAGGCTTAAGTCCGGGCCTTTAGTTTGCGTATCCAACACATTTTTTCAGTTATAAAGTAGCCAGCACCTCACAATATGCGCCTTATGTTTGGGATCATTGTCTTGAAAAACCTTATAGTTGGTTTGCCATTGACAAAGAATCCAAATTTGTTGGCACTGGTTACTAAATGTGTGCGCAAAATGTCAAAATACTGTCCAACATCCATGGTGTTCTCAATAAAACATAGATATCCAACTGCTTTGCTTGAGATGCACCCCCAAAATCAACAGTCGGTATTATATTTTTTCTTCTCGAGGGCTTTTAGGGGCTTGCCCCACTCTCTAGTTGGACCATTGTTATAATATACCATCATTTTGGATTCATCGCAAAATATTACATCATCCCGATATGAATCTGGCTGATTTCCGTGCATTTTAGCAAACGTTAGACGCTTTTGAGCGTGATCTGCCGACATCAGTTTTTTTTTTCCGGGCTAGTCGGGACGACAGATCATTACTTTTTAGTGCTCTTCTGACACTTTCCCGGGAAATGGTTATGCTACACTCCTCCTTCAGCTCACTGGCAACCATCCTGGTCAAAATAGTTGGTTTCTCGTCCATTTTTCTGAGCATAATTCGCTCTGCCCTGGGTGATAATAGATGAGGGTGTCCTTTAACTTTAACCTTTAACCTTTAACTCAAGCCTATCCTCTTTTTTTGCACGGCTTAGTATATTATATACTGTTTTCCAAAAAATCAAAAACATTTGGCCAATCTCTGTGGCAGTTTTACCCACCAAGAGACATCCAAAGAATAAAACTGGGCTGAAAACCATTGTTTTGGAGGAATGCCGAAATATCCCAGTGGAATATGTCAGAAACTTGGTCCAATCGATGAATAGACGCTTGGGAGCAGTCATAGATGCCAACGGTGGCCAAAAAAAGTATTAGTTTTAAATAAAAAGTAGTTAAAGCATTATAATGAATTAATTGTTTTAGTTGTGTAAACACTTTCTTGTCAGCTGATTTTTGTTACTTCTTTTGTTTTTTGTTATTTTCTTTTGTTAATGGAAACATATTGTAATTTTTTTTACTTACTAATATAGTTTATAGTCTAATATACCTACTTTCATTTTAAAAAAATTGAATATGCATATTCTTACTGCTTTTATTTCGCTTCAAAGTAAAAAATTCAAATTTTTTCCCTGTGTGTAAACACTTTCTTGCCAAACTGTAAGTGTCTTTCACTCACACAATAAAAACAAGTAAGAAGCTCTACTCGAGACTGCTCGACTACGAGATCCCCTGAACCCTTCGAGCAATAGCTATTTGAAAATTTTTTCGCGACTTTCAGCTTACACAAGAAACACGCACACACACACACACAAACGCACACAAGCACCCACGCCTAAAAACGCATGGGCTGCAGTGTGCGCTTACTATGAGAACTTAATTGTTTAATAACTTCTTTTGTGGACATACGATCTTCATGAAACTTTTAGATTATGATCATAACACGGATATACATGCATTTGCCAAAGCTGAGATACGCCTTTTTCAAATATGTGGGTGAGGGGGTGGATATAGGGGTGGGGGGTAAATTTTAACAAAAACCGAAATTGTATAAATTGCATACAGTGGACCAATAATGTCTTCGTACAGCAAAGATTTTTTTCTTTGGCAACGAATAAGTGATGCAAGATGGGCAAAAATTAAAAATTTTAATTTACAGATTTATTAACTAACATTTTAGTAAATTAGAAAAAAAGATAATTTCAATATTTTGCTTAGTATAAAAGTTATAACTAAAAACCATACAACAAACGCGTTTTTGCCTCCAATAAAGTCTTCGTATCAATCATCTATGAATCAATCATATCATATGAGGATAGAAAGCCGCTTAGAATTCGATATATGTATGTATGTATGTACACATGTATTCTTTACTCAGAAGTGGAGTCTTCTGTCGAACAATTTTTATACCCTTAACCCATTGAAAATGGGAAAGCAGGGTATAAAGGTTCTGTTAAATGTATGTAACAGGAAGAATACATATGTACATACATACATATATATATCGAATTCTAAGCGGCTTTCTATCCTCATATGATATGATTGATACATAGATGCATATATATAGATTAATTTTTTTTGTTTGGACTAATTTCATTAGGCTTCAGATCGTGATTAAAACATTGAAATGCTTTCATTTGCCAAAATACGGGTTTAGGATTGTAAATAGCATTTTTCAAATTTATGAGGTATGGGTGTATTACAACGAAATTCGAAATTTGGAGACTCTAGCCTTAAAGATGTAAAAGAGAACTTTATATGATTTTCGATGATGAAATAACGAGAATACATAGCTATCAACACTAACCAGAGAACACATAGACCGAACACGTGAGTAAAGAGCAGAGAGAGAGAGGAAGAAAAAAATTGAGCCTGGAATCATCTTTTGTTCAACATTTGACCATCTCGGTCGAGCACATGAAGCGAAATGATTGTGCTTTCGTATATTTTCGTAGCCGGAACCTAAAAGTAGAAGAGCCGAGCAAATACGAAGTGGTCTGGGAGATTATGCTCGAAGAAAAGTGTGCAAAACGCTTTAGACTACGTCACTGTTAAAAGACACAGTAGGTTGCGCAAAGACACTAACCAGAGAACACTTAGACCAGACAAGTAGTGTAAAGCGTTTTGCACACTTTTTTCGGGAGTTATCTCCCAGACACTTCGTATTTGCTCGGCTCCTCACTTTTTGGGTTCGGGCTACGAATCAAGTACTACATTAAAAAAAAATTCATTCTGATAGGCAAACCCACGATCATTGAATCAAATCAGGTACTTAAACATAAGCGCGCCTCTTCAATTAAAACCCAAAATCGTTCACACCATTCTAAGTTGAAGGAGGCACACGCCAATGTTCATCTCCCATGCATACATACAAACACATACACACACGCACATGTAAAGGCACATAGGCATACAAGTGCTTCTACAAGTTACATCCCTTAATTGTAAGCAGCGCCTCCCATGCGTAAACACAATCAAATGTATATACATACATACATACATATGTATGTGAGCACTTCACAAGATCGACAAATGCAAATGCTGGGCTTCAAAATTGCTACAGGCAGCCAGAGCTTCACACACAGGCATACAAATTCTCATAGTACATGTAGCAAGGGACAGTGTGTGTGTGCATGCTCGTCGCGAAAACATTTTCATTATGCGCACCAACGCTTTCATACCCTTCCCACAAATAATAACGAAAACGCATGACAAACGGTTTGAAAAGTTCGGTATACTCTTCACACAGAAGGGAAGGCATGGGTTCTCGCAGCGAAGAAATTTCAATTTTTGTGAGCTGCGGCTTGTGCTCACATGCATACATACATATACATATTTGAGAGAGCAGAGAGCATCGTGAGAGAGAGAGCAAGGGAAACATTTAGCGCAGAGGGATCTTTTGTTCAATATTTGACCATCTCGGTCGAGCGCATGAAGCAAAATGATTGTGCTTTCGTATATTTTCGTAGGCCGAACCCAAAAAGTGAGGAGCCGAGCAAATACGAAGTGTCTGTGAGAGAACTCCCGAAAAAAAGTGTGCGAAACGCTTTACACTACTTGTCCGGTCTATGTGTTCTCTGGTTAGTGGCAAAGAGCAGTCCCGTTACTTTTAATGTTAACTAACAGCTCTCTTGTGACGTCACATTATCAGATCATGTTATCCCGGCTGAAGCTTGGAAGGCATTTCAGCAGAGATCGACTAAGTCGTCCAAAACAACCAAAACTAACTATATATAAGGAAATTTCAATAGTAAATACCTTATAAATTGTCAATCACTAATTTTAATACCATACTATAAAGAAATTAAGTATATAATGGAATGAGCTGGGAGGTCTCTCGAATGCAGCAAAAATGGCGAATAAGTTAGCAGGAAATGTTGATGGACATAATTAACTGGGTTTTCGCCATCAGTATTGTTTATTTATGCCAATTTACCTACATTCAAATATAGTACACGTTGCAGCTGCATCAATAAAGGTGCTGCTCACACCTGCTGTCATGTCAGAAACATCCAGTGGAATGAAATAAAATTTGTGTATTAATTGTCAAGTCGTAAACTTGTATGATTATGAGTATTGAAACCTAAGGAAACGCATAATCTGCCTAAATCAGCTCTTAAAACCTAGACAGAAGCTAACAATGCTGCGGGTCATCTATGGCTATCGGATTTGTAATAGAAAGAATGAAATTAGTAAGCATAATGATGCGGATTGATGGGAAATGCATAATACTTAGTAGTAACTTTTTAGTTTTACAAATTCAAGCCTTAGATAGTAAGGTTAAATCCATTATATGCAAAAGTAAAAGTGGTCAAGGGATTGCATGAT